AATTCCCCAATAGCTGGCGGCCAAAGGCCACCCTGCTAATTGCAGTTGCCTAATAGCTAGATGCAAAACAATAGGAAATGCTGCAGTGCATAGTAGTTCTAACTAAAACGGGACCGCCAACCTTAGCAAGGGAGACCGGGGACCGCCCACGTTAGGAAAAAAAAGTGCTCCGCCATCGGCACGGTGGCCAGCCAAAGCCTGGGCCTTCAAAAGATTGCCTTACGGTCCGGTCACTTGTGTACAAAACGATGGCCTCAGGAGAGTGAGCCGCATGTTCTTTCTGAGCGCTACTAACAAAGGTCTTGGCTTAAGATGGCACGTTCGCGGGTCGCGGGATGGTCGATCTGTTTGAACCGACAGCCGGGGGCATAGTTGATTCCTTCTTGCACTTTGAGCGAAAGCTTGCGCGAGCGTTTGCAACCCAGCTGTCCAGTATTGTTGGGTTTGGGGTTCCTGCGAGCCCAGTGAATGACTGCAAGTGAATGTCTAACTGTCAAACTGCCAGCCTTGCACAAAGTGTCGAGGAAGCTTAGATTGAGGGCCAACGGGCTCACGATGTGGGATTGATGCTCAGATTATATGCATTAGGAGCTACGATTACAAGGTTTGTGCTAGAAATCCTGTTGGGTTTCTTAGGATCCCTCGATGCTGACACGACCCGGAGATCAACAGAATGCCACACGACCACGACATAGGCCTCGAAATCGAGATCTGTGAAGCTTTGCTATTTGGGTTACAACGGTTACCTCGCTTCTCACTACACCTACAGTGCTACAGTTTCCATCGGTTATCCTATTGAGTAGTATCGGCTCCTAACCATCAACTTGGCGAACTGAAACGGAACTACATTGCAACACACAGGAAACGCTAGTATGGCAAAGTCGCTTATTACAATAAAGTACCAGTTGTAGCTTGATAGTTGGAATCTCTTTGACTCGCGCTCAGGAGAGTTACTGCAAAAGCTGGAAAAAGTTGGCTTCCAGATGGACTTCGGGGAGGAGCTTGATAAACAGTGAAGCTGGCGTTTGGCCCTTATCTACGGCTCCGTCTGTGAATGCAGACCTTCCTCGCCTCCACATTCTTATCTTCGACACCCTTTGATTCCCTTGCTTTTGGGGTTTACGACTTTGGGTACAGTAAGGGTTGAGAGTGAGAGGCCGTGGTCCTTCGATATTTTTTGCACATGTCAGCCACTTCTGTGCGCAGGACGACACCGGCAACTTTGTGAAGCTGCTTGGCGGGGGTTGTCCTGCTACATCCAGAGGATACTGCGCGCATGTGTCTCCCCATTCCGACTTAATCTCCTGGTTGCATGGCCCTGAACCTTCGTAGCGGAACCTTAGTAGGCCGCACCGCACTCCTCGGCACCCCTAACCCCGAAACCCCGAGCTTTAAGCTTGCCAATTCCCTCGCGCGAGGTACCTTCGCACCGGCAACGGCAGCCTGGCTCCGATTTTGATTCGTGCTCTTTGAAAAGGCAGCGTGCTTTTGGGTTTGGGGCTGCTGTGTTCCAAACAATAGGCTTCATGCTTTCTTCCAAGAATCTACTGCACAGGCTAAGCCTCACAGACAGATTGCGCCTCTCGAAGGCCAGCACGGTTCCTCCCATCTCGTTCAGACTTCCAGTGTGACCGGACCAATATCTACAACCCACTCACACCGGACTGCTGGCAAGCAAGTTTCGCAGGCCGCTTGAATGTCGCGGCAGGTTCAGTACATACAAGCTGGAGAGACGTGTGCGTTACTTGTTTCAATCCACGGCCCAAGTTTTACGCCCCCCTACCTCTGTCGGACCCGACAGGCCCAGCGCCCTCCACTCCAAGTAAGCCTAAGCTGTTCAAAGGGATTAGATATTGGGACTCTCAACTCCAAAATGGAAGTTCTGGATGGGGGTAGAGGTGTATACACTCTCAACTCTGAACATTCCACATGTACTTAGCCCCCTTGGAGTTTTCTTCGCCCAAGTTTAGGCTATTACTTCGATGTCGGCGCATGTGAGCTGGTGGCCAACGGCAGCATAAAGCTGAAGGTGGCTTTACTTGTTTCTACTTGGTTCTGGGCTTGAGGCGTGTTTCGTCTTTGTCTGATGGGCTTCCCTGGCTGACTGGCGCTGATACAGACTGATGATGATTTGTGAAGAGAAGTGGAGCTGTGGTGCATGTTGATGAATGCGGGATTAGGCATTTAACTAGAGAGTAGAAGTGGAATCCATATATCCTGGCATTTGTCGCTTTCATAATTTGCTAAAATTACCGAGGGCTTGCATAGGGCGGAAGTCTTGCTTTCTGCCTTCTTCTCCGCCAAGTTCCGAGCCATCGCCGGAATCACCGACCTGTCAACCCGAAAACCTAAAGTGTGTCTGGATGTCTCGGGAATGGGCTCAGGCGGGATTCGCCGGATGTTATGGAATCCGACCGCGGACCCCCAGGATCCTGCAATCCCATTCCCTTTAGTTTCAGGTGGGGTCCATTGACCACATCTGCGAGAATGGTTTGGCAATGGAGGACAAAGGGGCACGAACTCGGCCTGACAATTAAAACCTTCTTCGCAGGGATGAATGAGTCGACCCAGATCAAAATGTCCGGAGAAGGACGGCTCCATGCTATCCGCGGATGTCATCATTCTGGCCACAGGCATGTTGGCCCTGCCTGCGTTAAAGAGAAGCAGAGTTCCACAACAGCTGAGTAGACAACATTCAGCCTTCCTGAGTAGATGGAACGGAGCCCTATCATGTATGGGCCTAAATTGTACGCTCCTTCATGTACGGATCTCAACTTAGCTACCCCCAAGTTAACAAACCCTTTGATTGTCGTGCCAATCTTAGCAAGGTCAAACCTTTGAAACAGGTGACTCAACTTGAGTTCTGACGTTGCTGACAGTCACCAATCGTACGATTGTTTGCTGCGAACGCAGCGATGGGAGGTGCACAGTTTAAGGCCCAGGGGTTTACATGGTACATGACGGGCGAGGGTGTAGGAGCTCACACGCCAACTCGCCCAATTGGCATGGGACGTTTCGGATGCACAGGCTCAGGCCACGCAAAACTTGGACAGAAAGCTGAGCAGCTCCCAAAGCAATTTGCAAAACATGGACTAAGAGATGCGCTGGAAGCCTGGCTTCCAGAGCACACAGCCCAGCTAAAGACCGCAAGCATGGACCTCCCAACCCCTAAACATTAAAGCCCTAGAGTCTACCCTACAGACTGAAAGCCTCAAGGTTTGGGGTTTGTACGTAATATAGGCGCTTGTATGTTTGTTGCTTTAGGGCTTGGGGTTTTGCAGGCTACCAGTCTATGGCGAAACCCTTGGCGCAGATCTTCGGCACCTCGACTACTACAGATAGGGTTTGTCTGGGGCTAGGGTGTTGGGGTAACGTATCGTAGTGCAGTATAGTGGAGCAGAGTCAAGTCAAGTAGAGTTTCAGAAGTAGATAGGAACGATAGACTTTCGGCTCCTAGATGATTCCAGCAACTTCTGCTTGCTTTGGCAGTAGCGGAAGGAAATTTGATTTGGCACAGTCAATCACCACTCCGCAGATCGTAACGCGATAAGCGTGGCTAGTCCGAGAAGCCGTGAGCATCCGCGCACTGCGAAGGCCAATGCACTCGCCCCCGAAATGAGTCTCTGAGCCTCGAGCCTCCGACTACAGCCTGCTTCCAAAGTCAGCGTCGGCCCGTATACATAGAACGCCTAGGTTGTTTGAGGTGGAAGTCCATGCTCGACAGCATTCGACAGCCCAAGACTAACAAACACGAAGCAGCCTAGCATGTTCCTGTTTGAGGCGAGGAGATTGCGCGGAAGGCGGGGCCCCAAAGCGCAATTGCATCAATCTCGTCAAGGGTGTTGGGGTTTTGGGTTTAGGATGTCGAGGTCCGAGTAAAGCTTGGGTCAGCTGTTGATGGTGGTAGAATGATGGCGTTGCAGCACAGCCCCGAAGTGGTCTGAAAGAGAAGCCCTCAACCTTTGGATGAGAACCCGGAATAGAAAAGCAGGCTTCGAGTGCTTTTGTAGTTCGGTGGAATTTGTCATATAATCTATCCCACCAAATCCCTACTCTTGTTGAAGCCCGTCTAGTAGTGGACTTGAGGTTGATGTCGGATGGTCTGACTATGCCGTGCAGGAGCCCGTTCAATGGGCCCTTGAGCAAAGATAGCCCCCAGTCCATGTCAATGTGAGGGGGCAACAAAGCCAAAAGAAAGCTGAAGCAAAGCTTAAACTCCGAACACTGCCAGTCATGCAGCCCCGGCATAGTTTCTTTGCAGCTTCGGGCGCTTGATCTTCCAATCATTCCCGGACGCCTGAACAAGGTGGGCCCTGTTTGGGGTCTGGGTTCCGCCACCCGCGGCGACGCGGGTCCTTGGGAAGGACGGTGGGAGTCTGCAACGAACTTGGGCTGCTTCACTTAAATCAAGCTTGACTCAATATCAGCATCAGCTTAAAACATGACCTCATCCTCGGCCCCACCTGCCGCTTCCTGCTTTTGGTTGCTTGCCGGAGTGGGGGAGACCTTGGGTGACTGTTGCCTCCTTCTTGACGACGGATAGCACAGGAAGGCTGATTTTGCGGCGTCAATGATTAAAACCTGGTTTTCTGATAGCATATCATATAGGGATATCGGGGTCTAGAGGCGAGGCACTACACGCGCAAGCGTCAAATCCCTCTGCACGACTGCAATCCTATGCCCTCAGCGGCTCCTGTATCGTTCTTGAGTCGGACTCTTTGCAGCCACTTGGCCAGGAGAGCTCCGGGCCATGTGGAAGCCAACCGGCCAGGTGGGGCAGCCCGTTTGAGAAATCCCGAATACAGGGGCCTGAAGAAGTTAGTCGTAGGTACAGCATCACCCAACCCGTGTTCGAATCACTCAGGCTTCCCTTTTCAAGGCCTGCAACACCGTAGTTCGGCATGTCAGTCTTCGGTGTATAAGGTCTGGAAGTCGCGCCTAGCGCATGTGGAATGATGCTTCGGGGACCTTCAGCGAGTGCACGTGCAGAAGTGTTTTGTACGCTCTGCTCCCAACTGCAGGCTGAACTGATATAGAAGTGAGGCATTAATCGTGTGAATAGGGTCTTGGCACATGCTGCGCCATGATTATGGTAAGCACCTCCACGGCATTGAGTCTAATTACATTGCGGCCCACGGGCTCTTGCGCATTGTGGTGTCTTCCATTTGCGAGGTTTTTGGGTGAGTTGGAACTTGGAAGACGAAGCATGCGGAGATCTCCTGTCCCTGCCAAGGGATCCAAAGTGCCCATACTGCTTGCACAAACCAGAATTCTAATGGACTCCTAGTACAGAAACCCTGCTTACCACCACCCCTTGGGCCTGTTGAGGAGAACCTTTGGCTTCATGGGGGCAACTTCATGTGCCGCGGCTGTTCTTGGACATCTCCCTCTCCTGTGCTACGTCTGAGTCAGCTCCGAAGACTATGTCAGGAGGCTAGAACTTCGAACTTGTATTCACCTTGCAATAGATGTCGAGGACCCTGCAATAGCTGTCGAGGGCCCTTTAAATCACTTCTCCAGACTACACTGTATAAAATACCATTTTCCTACATCTTGTGCCGAAATCTCGAAGAGTCTCGATCCGAGGCTCAATCGCCTCCACTCGCATCACCTTGCGCTGCAGCTCAAAGCCCGCCAGGTGGGCTTAAACCCCACGGTACCTGGACTGAGACTTATAGTCTACTACATGGTTGTTGTTTTTGTTTGTAGGGCCTTACCAGCCCTAAAAATCCCGTTGGGCTGGGCCGGGCTTGTAGCGTTTGTGCAGGTTACAGTGCTTGGAGCTAGAGGTGGCTTGTGCTTTGATTCTCACGGCTGTGTTGCTGAGGTCTTCTGAGCTCGCGGAGACAGGCACCTCCTCCGCATTTGCCAAAGACATGAGATAGGTGCATCTGTAAGCCGCAAATGGCCGGGGCCTCGACATGCACGGAAGAGACCCAGATCACTGAGCACACGTGCAGGATGAGTCCTTGCAAGTCCCGAACGCAGCCCCAAAGCGGCTTTTTTCCTTTTATAGGAATTCATGGCTCTAGCTGGCACAGTGGGGTGAAGCATCCACGGTTGCACGGGTCCCTGAGAGCCTTACAACACACAGAGCTTTCTGAGCCTCCATCCCGAGCTGTCTTTTGCGATCGAAAGAAAAGTAACCTCAGGGACCTATGCTGCACGCCGGCTTCCTTCCAGATAATTTTTTGTTACAGCGGCGACATTGCAGCTCAAGTTCCCAGATGAGTTCTGAAACACGGGACTGCAGTGTCCTCCACCAGCTGCCAGAAGAGGTCTTAGGGCAATCCAGCCAAGGCAAGAACTAAAGCGCCTTTCACTCTTGGCTTCCCGAATGCTGGTTGCAGATGTGGACAGCTTTGTTGACGTTGCATCGAATGCACTTTGAGTTTGGCAGCTGGTATGATTGGCACACTTGCCTCACAAGTAGGTGCAAACTGATGAAGTTATTCAGAAAATGGGCAGCACACCTTCAATGACGATTGAGCCGGAATCTAAGCAGGCATACCGAGGTACTGGGGCTTTGGCTCAGATAGTTTCCGGGCCCGATGTGCCTATGGTCAGGTTGGGTTTTTTAGTCTGTGGTTTTCCAAGATTGTACTGGCAGCGATGCTGATGAGAGCTACGGACAGCGAGTCTTGGTGTGCTTGACCCGGACCACGGACCAGAGGTCTTTTGTCCAGGTCCAGGCGTAACGTCGTGCCAGGCCATCGAGGCCAGTTGCTACGTGTGCCGGCAGTGTGCGTCCTCTCGCTCCCACGGTCCATTCATCCACCTCTCGCAGTAGCGTAAGCCAATGCTCTACGGCAATGCCCACATATCCTCACTGCAGCATTATAAGCCACCCCACCCCGACGAGAGAAAAACCCCGAAGCCAAAACCCCTAACTCGAGTTGTCTTGCAGGTGTTCTGCTCACAGAGCTTCTGGAAATCACAACAGCTGACATGGGTTGGCAGCGCTCATTACCACCCCCACACCCAGCAACCAGCCTGGTCCCTGGAGCCCGGAAAGCTCAATCCGAACCCTCTCCCCCCCCCTCCCCCCTCCGCGTTCCCGCACAGCAAGGAGGACAAGTAAAAGCAGACCGGAGACTCCAAAAGTTTTGTAAGAATTCTGCTCTTTGGAAGCCTCCCTCCCGCAGAGTCAGAGTCTCTTGGGCCCATGGACCGACGGTGATGCCTGGCGCCTCCGCATGAGTGACGCGGCCAAGAGGCTCCTTGCAACTGACAGGACCCCGAAAAGCCGTAAATCCCCCAAGAACCTGCAATTTCCATTTGGGGGCGGCTTTGTTGATGCTTCGGCTCGAGGGATTCGGGGTCTGGAGCTGTAAGTTCAAGACATTCTTCCTGAGCCAGAACATGAAGCCTACATCCAACGCCGTGAAAGGAGACCTACAATTAAAGTCCAGACCCATGCACTACTCTGCAAATCCACATGAGCATGCCCCAGGTCTGGGTCCAAGCGATCGGAGGCTTGGCCGGTATTCGGTTGGGCTAAGCAAGCAGGGTTGGGTTAATGGGGTTCACACAGGAGTTGGCTTAAGTTGGAGTTTCTATCCCTGGCAGATGAGGTAGATGAAACGAGAGGCCCGTGACGAAGGTAGCCTGGGCCAACCGCAGCCCTCAACCCCAATAACTGTTTGCAAGAATCTTGTCAAAGATCCGATGGCATTTGATGGTATCCCAGACCATCCGCAACTTCGTGTGCTACTGCGTATGGAGAACACCGTTCCAGTCCTCCCGGCAAAACCCCAAAGCCCCCAAAGCAGGAAGTCCCAAAGCCGGAGGCCTTTTTTTGCTTCGACGGGCTGAAAAGCTTCGTTGCTTGGCGCAGCAAACGGTTTGCGCTCGATTGTAGTTATAGCTATTTTTTTGGATTACCTTGTCGAGGGTTTCAGGGTTTGGTTCGGGATCCTAGCCAGAACATTGTTAAACTAGAAGAGGAACTGCATTGGAGAGCACAGGTAGGGCCCTGGCAAGGCTTGCAAGCTTCGGATATCCTGGACCCCAACCCTAATGGCACTGAAGCCACGCACCCTAAAGCCTAAAGCCCTAAACCCAAGACAGACAGTAAGCCCTAGCGGCCCTAGCGGCCCCCAGTACCCTAAGCTCAGAAGCCTTAGAGCAGCCTGAAAGAGACTTTGGGCCTCGGGTCCGATGTGTTGGGTCCCTCCGGTGCAGTGCTAAGGAGAAGAGTCTGAGGTTTGGCTTTACTTCCAGAGGGGTCAGGAGTGAGGGTGTTGTCAGCAGTGGCTTCATAGGCACTTTACAGGAGAAGGTTTGGGACAGGCGCTTTAATGGGGATGTTGCCACGAAGTGTTCAAACCTCTGTTTCATGAAGCTTTCGGCTCCCATTCGGGACGCCAGCTCTTCGACCATGGTGAGTGTGGCCATCGGGGCAGGGCTGGGTGCCCTCGCTGGCGGCATCGCTGCGAGGATGTGGGCTGGCGAGGATGTTGGGAAGACCCCATTGCATCCCAGCTCTAATCGTAGTTACGTTCCGTTGTGGTTCTGTTGAGTGAAGCTGTTTTGCGATCTGGGAGTTGCACTGGAAGGCCTTCTACTAGAAGGGTAGATGATCATGGTCTGAGCCCAAGGGCTTTTCCGTGGAGGTGGTTTGGGCTGCATGTTCGGATGGCATGATGTGTTGCTGTTGATGCGAGGTTTCGGTTATTGCTTCTTGTCTCCTACTCTAATCGACTATGACCCAGTATGAACGAATAGATTTATGTATGAGTGGCTGTCTGAATGGATAGAGGAGGGATGGAGAGATGGAGATGGATGGATAGGTGGGTGGATGGATGATCCGATGTTCGGTGTCACCTTCGCCAGGGCCGCTGATTCCGGGACACTCGATCAGCCCAAAGTGGCATCGGGAGAGGTTCATGAGGACTGGCTGCACGCAATCCGAAACTCTAGCCCTGAGCCCGAAAATGCCTTGAATCCCAAAATGTCTGCAAGCCCTAAACCGTTAGCCGGTAAACTCTAGACCCGAAGCCTAACCCCGAACCGTTTTGCGAGGACCGGCTGCACAACCTTATGCTCCAACTGGGCCACAGCCGCCTGCACGTATTCCAGCTGGAAAACCGAGTGCTGGCCGAGAGCTACCGGAAGCTCAGTCCTTCTGGGTTTTGGGCCTTCGGGTTTGGGTTTTGGGAGTAATTTCATCTAGGGTTGAGTTGTAAGTGAGTCGTTGCGTAAGCTTTTCCGTGTGCTGTCTTCTGCTGTTCATATAGACCATAGATACTGAGCTTCTTTGAATGTCCCACTAACATTTAAGGAAGGTGGCCGCGGGCCTTGTTTCAAACTCTGCCCCCGGTCATCATGGCAGCCTAGTGGAGCCACCTGCGACGACGTCCGGCAACATACAACGTGGCACTTCTGTGCCTGCCGATTCCTCCAGAGCACCTGACTCTCGGTAATCTTGGCTTTGTGGATGTTGAGTGAGAGGTCATATCGCTTGACAGCAACAAACATGTACTTAGTACTTGTCCAAACACGATCTAGCTAGATCCAGGATCGGCTGCACGGTGTTTTGCTCCTGCTGCTCCAGCTGGAGCGGGGCCGCCGGCATGTCTCCCAGCTTGAAAACCAGGTGCTGGCAGAGAGTCATCGAACAATCTCGGAGCTGCGAGCACGGATCAAGTCGGTTGAAGGCGGGCTGTTGCAGAGCCGTGGAGCGCTCACGGCTTCTCTTTGCACACAGGGAGAGGAGCCCGTGCCCACCAAGCCTGCAGGCCCGGACGACCCGGAAGTGCAACTGCCTATCCGGCCTATCCAAAGCAGGAAGAAGAGAGGCAATCACGAAGCGAACACCCAAAATCGGATGCCTGAAAGCTTGGATTCAACGGACACTGCTTCTATGGGATGGACCCAGCTGAAGCAGGATAAGCAGTTGGCAGAGCGGATTCAGCAGGCCGTAACTGCCTACCTACTCAGTCCAGAACAGCCCATTACGGAAGATTTCCTTGACAGCGACGGTCAGGAGGAGACGGACGAGGAGGACGGGCAGAGAGATCCTCTCAACCTGCCATTTGTATCAAAAGATGCAGAATACGCTGTGATGCCTGATCCAGAAGATCCCGTTGTTCCTCTTGAAGCAACATCTGATGAGCCGGGGAAACGCAAGTATAAGAATCGCACACGCCAGATCATGATTGGCAAGGCAAGGCCTGAATACCTGCGTTATCGTGAGCAGGTGCCGTTTGAATGCCGTGGCTGGGCTGTGTTTGGTACAGCTACTTCTGAACAGCAGCTGTGTTTTGCTGTGTTCCTAGAGTCTCGACATCGCATACAAACATTTTATGACCCAAGAGCAACGCAGGTGGGCCAATGCACCCGCGAACCCCGAGCGCAATGGACAAATGCTCCAAGCGCGACTTCGATCACAAACTGTCCCATTGGCGCCGTCAACTCCACTACTGGCTTGATGATGCTGCAGCCTTTAGATTAGGGGCCACATGATTGTTGGACACACATGCTGCAGTGTATTTCTATCGATACATCCGATCTGGGATATGAGCCCTGCAGTCCTTTCGGGTTGATTTCGGTCCGTAATAACACTTTCAATGTACAGCGGCAGAGATGGATCCCGCGAGAGATGAACCTGATCTCTCCTTGCCTTCGACCTTCAGCCGTCAGGGTCCCGCCTGCGAAGATCATTGCCGACTTGTGACTTGTACAACTGCAAAGCCCCATTGCTTGAAAGGGTTGAAAAAAGGGATCCCCATATTAAGGTCCCTGAAGAAGAGGCGTCTGGAAATCAGGTGTCTACATGCATGAAGCCAGAAGCGACACAAGTAGGTTCGAAGGCGCACAGAGGCCGCGAGGTTCCGCTTCTCATTGAGGTAATGCATGCAGCCACCAGCAGTCAGTGATGCTTAGGCTTAGCCTCCAAGCTCTGAATCCCTAAGCCTGAAACCCATGAACCCCATAAGCCTAAAGTCGGCTCAGCGGGTTTGGACCGCCGAGACCCCCTTCGAGCCCTCGATTTCTCAGGTTGTTGGAAAGCAGCGAGAAGAGGCCGGGTCTCGGTTTGAGGCAACATATCGATCCCCCAACCCAAGACTTGAAGCCTACACCGCAAGTCGAATACCCCAAACCCAGCATCTGCAAAGCCCGCAGACCCAGACTCGATACAAGCATCCCAAACCCTAGAACGGTCTTTTCAAGGCCGTGGGCTGCAAGGTTTGGAGCCGACAGGTGGGTTCTAGTTACTAGTTAAGCAGGTGAAGGCTTTGGTCAGGGTGCGGGAATTCCGGGTTTTAGGCGGGGTTCTACAGGATGTCAGGGGGCCAATGCAGGCGTAAAGCTTCCAACATTTAAAACAAAAACAAAGAAACTACTCATTAACCACGCTTCCGCACAGTACAAAAAAGAGGCTCTACCTGCCACGGTTATCGGACCCCATAATCAGAGACTCGGTAACCACGAGCAGGAACGGGTATACCCCGACACCCACCTGGGGCCAGGTCTTCCCGGCCGGCCAGCGCCCGAAGATGGCGCCGGAAGTGGCGGGACAGGCTCTCTTGGAACTTTCGGGCTGGCTTCCTTCGTCAGGCTTTTTGCGTGATGACGGTTTCATAGGTGGTCTGGAGTTTTAAGGGTTGCCCACGATCTTCAAGGGTGTTTATCGGGTTAGTGGTTTGGGGTTTTAGATTTCTACAGAGTTCTGATGTCTCTAAAAGCCTTGATGATTGAGTGTTGGCAGTTGGGGCTTGATGCAAAAATCCCCAAACCATGAACCGTAAGCCCTCCACACGCGCCTATGCTGCAACGTCGTGTATCTCTGTATGCTGGACCAACAGAGTGCAGAGCTCATCCCTGGCTGAATGGAACCTTTCTGCGTCTCCACGAATTTGGGCATTCGGGAAGTTCCTTGTCATGGAGTAGCTAGGTAGACCTTGAACCTCCCAATTCCTGACAGTGACAGAAGCTTTGCATTTTGGGCCCAGGATTTGTGGATTGCGGTGGTTTCAGGATGTTTTCGGGTTCTGGGTTTGAGCCAGTGCTTTGGTTTGGAGTTTAGGGCTTCAGCAAGCCACCACTGCCACCCAGACCGCGAAGAGACCTTTGCCGGGCGGGCAGGCAAGGTCTTTCTACGGTTCATCTTCTTGCTGGCCTTGTTGTTTCATTGCTATGGTGCCCAGTTCATGTAAAGCCAGCCCCAAGAGTCAGAGTTCCCATTCCATGGCAACCCCACTGTCAGGAGGTTTCCTCATGTGAGTTCTTCCTTAGTGCTCCTGAAGCCGCCACCTGCATGTTCTGCAGGTCGAGAGGCTCCTGGAACTTCTTCCAGGCCGGGCCCCCTCCTTTCGAGCTATGCTAACCTACGTTGCATGTAGGGTCCTTATCACAGGCCATGTGGTTGACATCCAAACTCGCATGAGGTGAATGTCGGCTCCTGATGGGTCCTCAACAAAGATTAGAAGGAGGTTCATGCATGAATCTGGGGTCAGAGTTTCCTCAGGGATCGCATCGCGGCTCAGAAGTTGACGTTTCGGTGTATGTTGAGGCTCAAGGCCCGATATCGCGGAAGCAGCATCAGATCGGGAGAACCTGCGGTCTGGAGCTCTGAATAGTTAGCTATTTTAGTCTATCCCCATGTAGCCCCTGTGCAGTTGGCTATGAAACCTACCACGAATTCCGAACCGATTAGTCATTCGACTCCATACCTGAGCTTTCAAGTCGAACCTGCTTTGGAGTCCAAGAGTCCAAGCAGCTGAGGGTCTCAACCTCGCACCCCCCCTTCCCCGGCGAGTTTGATATGCATTGAAGGCTATGCTGAGTCATAATGAAGGATCTATTTTGGGGGGATAGGTTATTTAATTGAGCTCTTTCTAGATGAGAAAGTTGTGAAGAGACCAGTTCTGGATAGGGCCATCAAGCGGGCCCACGGTGCGGATCGAGGCAGCCCTTCGTCTTTGCAGGGTTCAAGGATGCTGGGGTGTTGTTTTTTTCCGGGTTTAGTTTTCAGGGTTTCAGTGTGTTTCGTACTGTTAGGGTGTTCAGGGGGGTCCTATCTACCTACGCAGCACCAGTAGTAGGTTCAGTTGGGTTCTCAAGGAGTTATATTCCGGATTTTGATACCTCTGGGTATCCCACATAATTATAGGCCTCGCTGCGCGTTCCTCGTTGTTATACTCCGTGTCCATCGCTTGCTCAATCAGGCCACCTGGCTATAGATTAGGGAGACCAGCGGGACGTAATCACAATCTACAGAAACGTACAACTACCTTGCAGTGCAGTGTTGCAGAGTTTATGTTTAAGTGCCCTCCGGCTCCCAATAGAATTGGAATGCTTGGCCCCCGAGAGCAGTAGCATCATCAAGCAAAAAAAAAGCTTTCAGCAATAAGGTTGCCCGAAGACTGTATATAGTATCGTTTAAAACTCAAAAGGTCCTGTGTAGTAAATATAATTCCGCCCGCCAAAGAAAGGCTGATCGTGGGCCCTGAGACTTGCGAACTATCCGATGCAGAACTTCTCTCGTTGTTTGCTTGTGGTTTAGGGTGAAGGTTTCTGGTGAGCAACAGAAAAGTTGCTACCGTAAGCATAGCTCGTAGTAGCCTACCATGGACCACCCAGCCTTGTTTTCATGTTTCATGCCTCTCTACTACTAGAAACCCGGAAAGGCGGTGTGAAGCTTTACAACACGCTTTAAAACGCCCTAAATGTACTAAGTACGGCCCCTAGATTTAGCATTCCCATGGCGTGGCGATGGGCACTGCTGGCCCTCGCTCTCGGCCGCACGCCGACGTTCGAGGCCCCAAGCCTTGGATCCGGTCGATGTTCTGATTCTGTCCTCAATGGAGTCCTTCATTGAAAGATACAAGCAGCGTTCAATAGAGGGCTCATCGCAGACTGAAGGACGGTGAAGGGGGTCAACAATCAACAACGCTTTAGAACGGGCTTGGCATTGTCTGGGCTTCGTAAATGATCTCCCGATTAAACGCAGGGCTTGGGGTTCCTAAGCAAGACCGCTATGTGTCTGCCGTTCAATAAGAGTAGTGCGTGCCATACCCCTGACATCGACAGCGCATAGAGGCCGGAACAATATAATTCAGCAGCAAGTACATGACCCCGCAATCCTGATGGATTCAATATGTTTCAAAATATCATGTCCCAAAACCATCTTACGTCGCTTATATCCATTACCAGGGCACGGAGTACTCAGCCTGGCTCAGCCTTGAAGCCCGGGTGACGGCATCCAGAACACAAATTCTGTAGCAAGACGTGGTGTGCAGCAAAGACTCGTGCGGCCCTCACGTCGTTCACATCCCAGCAACATGGGCTTGGGATTTCGGCTCAAAGTGGCTGTGGATTGAAGTGCAAGGCCTCAGGTTGCAAAGAGCGCTAACCCGTAAGCCTCAGGTTCTCAAGCCTTGCGCCAGGATCTCCATTCCGAGCTCTTCGGACACCGGCCCGTAGATGGGAACGACTCCACCCACGTAGTTGTCAGCTTCTCGAACCGGTGGCTGGCCTTGCAGCTTAAGGCACCGGTGCCATGAGATCCCCAACGGATTCCCGTACAACCACTGTAGTACATCCTTCCTTGTACAGGCTTCTCCTGTTCAGATGTAGCTAGAAGCTTCGTGTGGTATGTTGGAGGTTGTCGGAGCAGCTTCTGCTCTGGTCTGACCTGACTGATTGGCAGATCGTACAACCACGTCTCTACATCCTACATTTAAGAGCCATCTGAGGGATGAGGTGCAACCGTGTTATGGCTTGTGAATGTATCGAGCTTTTCAAGGGCGTCCTTCTTCTGCTTGTTTGATACGTACCAGGTACGGGATCCGGCCGAGCTTCTCCAACTTCCCGCACTCGAACCTGAAACCCGAGCAACTCGGAGGGACCATGGGAGTCTAAGGCCTACTTCCAGAATCGGGGCTTCGTTTGTAGGGTTATAGGCATGTGCAAATCTGCAACTCTGGCATCTCTGGAAACCTGAGAGCGTGCAAATCTGGAATCTCTAAAAATGGAATATCTGGAAACTTGGGGCGTGGAAATCTGGAATCTGGAAACCTACGTCCTGCAGAGAGCCGGAAAGCAGGAAATCCAGAATCTGGAAACCTGCAGACATGGATCTTGGAGGGGGCGAGCATATGTATATATATATATACATACATACATGTACATACATTATTCACGGCTCCCCATCTGGTATTTATAGCCTTCCTCACTGAGTCCCCTGATCCTTCGAGCAAGGGAGGCCCGAGACTTCGACTTGCAAGGGTTCTGTGGCGCAACACAGCTCAGGTTCTTCACCAACGTCCTGGACATTCTGATGCCTGAAGGCGAGCCCGAAGGATCCCCGCACAAACCACAACCGTAGCTCCAATCACAAGGATGCGTGCACGGTGCACGGTTGGGAGTGCTCAGCCCTCGGTGATGGACACCAGTCTGAGACACCAGGACTTTTGAGGAGCTTGCATCGTAGTCGAGTGGCTCTGTTTGGGTGCCTGTCA